ATGGGGGACCCTCACCCCAGAAAAGCGGGGGTGCTGCTCTCCTGGCAGCCCCAAACTTTAGGATTCTGCAAGGGTTCAAAAGGGAAAACCTGATTCCTCTACTCAGTCCCGAGCACCCCACAGGCTGGGATGGGACCCCAGAAAGGCGTTTGTGCACTAAATCCAGCTTGAGACCCGGGCTGAGCGCTGAGGGTCCATCTGGGAGAGAAGAGCCTGGCCCAGAAGGCTCCGAGGGCTGAGCAGAAGGGCAGGGTGTGAGGTTGGGTTGCTAACGTGCCACAGAGGCATGTCAAGGAAAACAACTGTAAATCTGAGAGGTTTTCTTGTGTGACCTGACAGCTCTTAATTAAGTCAGACCTGCCATTTCTATTATCCTATCTGATGCTGAAGAAGCTACTGTTTTGCTGCATAATCAGGGCCTTGAAATGCAGCTTCCACCCACAGACCTAGAAGGATCCCTCCCCTCGGGATGGGCGAGAAGGTTTGGCTTTCCCTGTCTGCATCTAACACGGCTTGTGCAGGGAATCCCTGAATTTACCTATCTATGGAAGTCCCTTAGGACAGGGACTCACTTATCTAGCACCATTGGTCTATTATAATGCAAATTAAATACACAGGCCGATGACTCCTCAATAAATGCCGGAGATAGGCTCGACTAACTGGTATCTTAGCGAGCTGGCCATGGAGGAACGGGAGGCTTAACCACAAATCTCTCCTCTTCCCACAAATTCTTTCTTGTAGCACTCAGCGTTTCCGGACCTGTTTAATCTTCAGGCTTATCCTGAGCTGGGTTGTTATTTGCTCCTTCTCTAAGTGGCTTTCACTTCCTAAACACCGAGGTGTGGGAGCAGGTACTGCCGCCTCTGCCGGTTACCCCTCCTGGATTGCGCGGATCCAACCCTACCGGCTGAGGCTGTAAAGCTGGAGCTGCTCCGTGTATGATTTTTGCCTCTGGCTAATCAGAAACTGCCTCTGTCAGATTCACTGAATATTGAACCATCTCGTTTTACTGCCTGGATTTCTTTTTTCCTCCGAATTCTAAACCTAGCTGTGCTTAACTGGGAGCAAGGTGTGTCTCATCAGCTGGTAGACTGCAGGGAAAACCAGGCTCCTGCAGCTGAAGGATTTTTGGGAGCTGCAATAAACATTCTTTATCTGAAAAAATGAATAAATTGTTTTCTGGTTAGAAATCCTTTAGGTGAAATGATGCTCATGCGTCATTTGGTGGGTGCTTTGTTTGAGTGCCCTTCCCAGCCCTTGGAAAATTGTTATACCCTCGAGATAACAAGCAGATGGGGAGAGAATTGCTGATTCTTTTTCATTCCTCCCTTCCTTTTTTTTTAAATTTTCTTTTTCCCCCCTGAGTCTTTTGGTTTGAAGATTCAGTAAAGTGTGCCATGGTGGTGCAGACTGGCTCATGCACCTGTTTGCACGGCAGCATCTGGCCTTTTTTTTTTTTTTTCCTCCCAGCCTGGTTCTCAAGCCCTGGCCTGCAGCCAAGCCAAATAGAAAGAGGGACCTCCCGTGGGAGTTGCTTCCAGTGTCAGAAACGTATTTGTGGGCCCGTATGATGTCAAGGGAAAGGCAGCACCTGGAATATTCCAAAGCAGCAAAGTCTCTTTTGATCTCCAGTGAGGGGTGAACCCCAGTCTCTTCCGTAGTGGGTTGTAATCCATATTTCATGGAGCATGAAATGCTGCACTTTGCAATCTGGAACAACTTCTAAAGTGCTGCCTGGGGTTGTAACTTAATGCATCTTTTAGCAGCTGCTGAAAATACCTGTTCTTCCCCCCAAAAACTTTTTAATTAAAAGCCTTTTTGACTTGGAAAGTGCTCTGGACTCTCTAGGCTCCTGTGGCAGGACTTCTTGGGGCTGTTTCCTGCAGGAGATTCTTCTCACAGCGTTGATAGCGGAGGCAGTGTGCAGGCTGTGGCAGTGTCTGTCCCTGAAGCTGCTGGTCCCCATCTCCAGCAGAGAAAAAGACACAGCCTTTTCTGTCTAAAGGGGAGATCCTCAGCCTGGAGCCACTTTGTCTTTTTAAGGGCAGTGGATCTTGCCCTGAGCCCCAGCTCAGCCATGTATGTATGTGAGCACCTTGGTCAGCAAAGAAATGTGCTGTGTGCACCCCAAAATGCTGAGGTTGTTGAGCTGGATGTCAAGCTTTAGCGAGGAGATGAATAGAGTGAGTCAACAGGAATTTGGGAGGGCAGGAGCAGGTCGGCTCGCTGCATAAAGGCTTTGCCTGCATTGTAGTGGGGGTCAGGTAGTCAGGGGCTGGAGCAAAAAAATTGTTAAACTTTAACCTGTTAACCTAGCACAGAGGTCAGGGAAAAGAATACCTGGCTTCGAGAAGTTATTAAGCTCCTTCAGTATTGCTTTGTGCAGAAACTTGGGTTATTGAACTTCCCTTGGCCAGAGTCCATTCTGCTTGGTTGCTTCAGCCCGTGGGGCTGGTGCAGGAACGGTGCTTCTCCAGTGCACAGGAGGCAACTCCTGCCCCGGCCAGTGCTGGCCTGAAGTGGCCAATGCAGCAGAGATGTGCTCTGGGACCAAAGGGACTCCATCGGGCATCTCCTATGTGCTGGTACGAGCCCTTTAAAATTAGCACATCCTTCTCCCCTGAAGACACTGATGTGGCAGCTGAGATCTCTCTGCTTGAGCATTTGGTGGCTCGCTGTGGGTGTGATTGGCCTCGCTTAGCAAGGGTTGCAAGCTCGCTCTCAGCCTTTTTGCTGCTTGCTGGGCTTGGTTTCAGGGAGTGAGGTTTCAGACAGCCCAAAAATCAGAGGCTGAGCATCCATACCGCACAGCCGAGGGTGGAGGAGGGTCCCTGCGCTGTGCAGCCGTGAGCATCGCTCCTGTGCTGGCAGCTGGGGCTGATGGGTGTCCGTGGCCCCTCTCCCTGTTGCTGGGAAACGGGTGCAGGGGTCCCTTTACAGGATTAATGCTGTTCCGCATTCTTGTCTGGTAGAAGAAAAGAGGTTCTGCTGGATTCAGTTGTAAATTCAAACCTAGGAGCACATTGTCTCTCCCCAGCCTCTTTGAAAGAGGATTAGAAGGCATCTATTCTCCAACACTTACTCTTCTTTCTCCTCCCCTTTCAATTTCCTTGTAGAGGATAACTTGAAAACCCAAGTGAAAGCCTGGAAAGTGGCTCACATGGTCGGGGCTGGGTCTCCCGGTCAAATGTGCTTAGGAGGGTTCTACTCTTTAAAACCAAACTTCCTCTTACCTCTAAATAGTCAGCTCCTTGAAATAAGTATTTGCAAGGAAAGGAAAACCTGTTTGGTTTTGGCTTTTTGTTTTGGTTTGGTTTTTTCCACTTTCATGACTCCAAGAAGAGATGGCGGTTGTTGTTGTTACATTCCAAGCCATGTGTGCAGGTCCCATTCCTTTGGCTGGCCGCGGTCCAGCAGCGGCCGTAGCCCGGGACACGATTCCTGTGAGCCAGGGCACAGAAATGAGGAGCCGGGCTGTGCTACCTGCGAGAGGAGGCTTGGGCAGCTCCTCTGGTCAGAGCTTTCCCTTGCGGGGAGGTGGGGGGAGCTTCTCCTTTGTGCACAGCAACAGGACTTGGAAAGTATAAAAATCTAGTTGGTTAAATTCAGTTTTATTGGAGCTGCTTTAGTGGAGCTGTGCAACATGGCTTTTGAGTATGGTGTGCCTGGGTGGAGAAGCTGGGCTGTGGATTTTGTGCTTGTAAGCCCCTTCCTGAAAGAAGAGGGTGGGTTTCTTGCTCTGCAAGAGGCTTTGGGAAGCCACAGTGCTCCTGGTCCTGACAGCTGGGTGACCCTCTGTGCGTGTTCTCACCCGCAGGTGGCCATCAAGTCCATCCGGAAAGACAAAATCAAGGATGAGCAGGATCTTGTCCATATCCGGAGAGAGATTGAGATCATGTCCTCCCTCAACCACCCCCACATCATTGCTGTTCATGAAGGTGAGCCCTCCTCTCCCATCCCCTTGCCAGCAGCATCCCGGAGCGGGGCTGGGTACCTGGGCAGGCTCCCCTCTCCTCCCTCCGCTCGCTCGGACCAGAACTGCTTTGCTGTTCCTGGTAACTCAGCACCAGTGGGGAGAACAGATGTTGTCGGGCTGTGGTTTCCCTGCCGCTAGCATGCGGGAGCAGCGACAAGGGGAAATACCTGCTCCAGAAATAGCCACTTCCCGTCCCGTCTGTGGAGGGAAGCCGGCTCTAAAAGTTTCCTTTTGAACCTGGCATCCTTGGCGCTGCTGCCGACGAGAGGCTGTGCCGAGGGAGAGCTGATGGCTGAGGTCCGCAGCGAAGCCCAGCGCCGTGTGTCGCTCTGGATGCTCGCCTCAGCCAGGGTGAGGGCTGGAGTAGTGGAAATGTCTGTGGCTCTGCTCTCAGCCTGAGGCAGGATCTAATCCCAGTGCCAGAGTCCTTCTCGTTCTGTCCCCTGGGGCGTAGGAAACCCAAACCACAGGGTGCTGGGAGAGCTCCTGAGGCTGATGGGCTTGGCTTTACTGCTTTGCTGCCAGGGTGCTGGGGCAACACCAACCAAATTTCTCAAGTTCTAGCTACAACTAGGTTACAGCAAATCTCCAGCTTTGCTTAAATCTCCAGTCTTTGCTTAAGCATCACGTCCCTTGGCTGCAAACCCGGTGTGCCCTGTGCTCTTCCTCGGGGCTGACTCTGCCGGGGTTCATGGCACCGTGCTGACGTGTGGCTGGTGCCCAGGTTATCGCTGCCTCGCTGGCTTATGTGAGGTGTCCTGTAAACAAAAGCAAGTGGATTGGCAGTTCACGTGTAGTGTTTGTAAGGACTGAGTCATACTGCTGGAATTCAAAAAATATTGAAGTAGCTTTCTGCAAACAGGAAGAAAACGCTTCGTCTCTTGGCTTGAGCTAGAGCCTTGTTGGGAACGATGGGAACACACAGAAAGGCTGCCCGGCTGTGCCAGCCAGCAGCTCTGTCTCCTTCTCCCTTGGCAGGACTCTGTCTAGCAGAGAACCACAAAGCTTAGTCACCTTCTGGCAGAGCAGAGCTTGTTTTGTGCTCTCTGGCTGCAAACGCTGCGTGTCCAGCAGCCCCAGTGGCATCGTGGGGTGTGGGTGGCAGTTCTAGCCGTCTCCCTCCCAGCTGCAGAAACCCCAACACCTTCTGTTTTGCCAACGAGAAGTCTCTTAGCCCCGAGCATCCTTCCTAACACCCTGTGGCTTCCCATTTCTGCAGTGTTTGAGAACAACAGCAAGATTGTCATCGTGATGGAATACGCCAGCAAAGGGGACCTGTACGACTACATCAGCGAGCGGCAGCGGCTGGATGCCCCGCCACTTCTTCCGGCAGGTCGTGTCGGCCGTCTACTACTGCCATAAGGTGGGTCAACACTGCGCTTCCCACCGCCTCCTGGGGGAAAAAGATGAGAAATTGTCTCTCGTGTGCTCGGCAGGGCTGGCTTCAGGCAGAGGTGCAGCAGCCGGGGCTGGGCAGGGATCCAGTGCCCGATGGGGAAGCTCAGCCCGGGCTGGAGGGTGAAGGAGACCTCATGGCCTTTCCCGGGAAAGGGGTTAATCCTGCTCCTTATCTGAAGGGTGCGGCAGCCCTCGGGCAGTGCCCAAGCAGCTTTTGGGAAGTCCTTGCCTTGGCTTTCTGCTGCTGCGGCGGGGTGACTAACCTCGGTGGAATTATTGGAGTTATCGGCTCCATCCCACCCGCCCAGAGGGAGACGCCTGGGGCTGTCTGCTGGGGCTGAAAGCTGAGACCTGGGTCACCCTTCTTGTCCCCTAAAAGAGATGTAAAGCTATAGGGCCCTGTGGGATGAGCTGTGCCTGCCCTGGAAGGACCCTCAAGCCTGTGGGTCCCCCAGGAGGATGCTCTAAGGCCATATCTTGATCCTGGGTACCCTTGTGCCCTTTGTAGGGAGGGGTGTGGGGTGTTGCAGGGCACCTCCTGAACACAGAGCAAACTGGGGTCTCGCTTAGGTGGGCAGCAGCTGGTCCTGCCAAAGCGTGAAGCTGTGCCCACCCTGTCCCAGTGGGAGCTGGGGTTGGCCACTTTCATGGGTGCTGCTGGTAGCACCCGTGTTAGGACGTGGTTTACAGCCCGTCCTCATCGATGCCACCCAGGGTTATTTACAGCTCCTCAATTGCCGTCACCGTGGTGTTTACGTGCCGTCGTGCCAGTGAACGGCAGTGACCTTCCTGCGCTGCCTGACTTTCCCTTCCTCAAACACGCTGTAAACTAAACCCAGCTCTCCCTTCCTTCATCCAGAATGGGATTGTTCACAGGGACCTGAAGCTAGAGAACATCCTTCTCGATGCCAACGGGAACATCAAGGTGAGTAGTGTTGCCCAGAAAAGGGCTCTAAGGGATGCTGCCCAGCATGGATGGACCAGGGATGCCCATAACACCCCGGACCCTCCAGGGCACGTGGTTCTCTGCAGCTCTAGGACCCCTGGCATCAGCCTGCACTGCTGTTTGCCCAGGAGATGGGGAGCCAGGAGGGTGCCTGTACCTCCCCCTGCTATCTCTGCCTGGCAGCAGAGCGGCAGAGGCTGCAGAGGCAGAGCCTTGGTGCTGCCTGTTAAAGCCATAATGTCTATCTGACTGCTGATAAGAGGGCAAAGTCTGAGCAATGATGTCAAAACACGACTGGCTGGATTAGAAGGGGCTCTCCCAGTGAAAGTCCCGGTCCCCGTGTGTGCCGACCAGGGCACACGGCGGAGGGAGGTGCAGGGCAGCTCCCAGCTCTGCTGACCACGAGCGATGCTTTTTGCCTCGGCCAGGAGCCCTGCAGCAGCCCCGGGGAGGAAGGGCACAGCCGGGGTTAGGTGCGGTCTGTGCTAAGCAGGCTGCAGGGCTCTATCCCTGTAAGGGGTAATTTTACAATTGGGAGCACGCAAGCAGGGACTGTACCTTCTGCTCACTGAGAGGTGACGGGTGTAATGAGGATAATGAATGCCTGCATGCGAGGTGGAGCAGACAGGGACTGGAGCAGCCTCGTGTGGCTGTGGATAAGCTGGAGAAGAGCCCAGCAGCTCTCCCTCTAACCACATGTTTGCAGTTGCTTTTGCTGCCAACGTGCTGGTGATGGGGCTGGAGGGGCAGAGCTGCAGGGTAGCTGCTGCGGTGGCTGGGATGAGCTTGCTGGGAGCAGGGCAGGGTGAAAAGCCAGGCTGTGTGCCAAGGGCAGTCCTGGTTTCGGTGAAGCTGGCAGCTGGAGAGCTTTCAGGTGACAATGCTGCTCCACCTGCAAAGGAGAACTTTGCTGCTTGATGACAGCTATAAACATCTCTCTAGATTGCAGACTTTGGCCTGTCCAACGTTTACCAGCAGGATAAGCTTCTGCAGACTTACTGTGGCAGCCCTCTCTACGCATCCCCCGAAATCATCAACGGGAGGCCCTACAAGGGCCCGGAGGTGGGTTGTGCTTCACCCTCTGCGTGGGGGGAGTGACTTGCTGTCCCTTTCCATGGACACGAGAAACTGCTGGGTGTTTTCTCAGTGGAGCATTGTGGGCAGAACCCTGCCTGGGTGGTTTGGGGTGACGGGTCTCCGATGACCAAGCTTCAAAGGGTTGGGGTGGGGTGGACATGGTGGGATGCAGGTGGCTGGAGCTGGTCCTCCCCCACGCTTTGTCCTCCTCCACAGCTGCTGTTGTCTCAGGAGCTGCCACTGACACTCCGGTGGGGGGGTGCCTGGCAGGGC